CGGAATACGACTTGAATGGATCCATACGCCACAGTCCCTCCTATGAAGCTGGAAATCCCATAAAAATGGATAAATAATAATAGATCGTATGGGCGAGCATTACATCTATAGAGAGCTGAGTTTCAGTACTGTATATCGATGGCTACATTCGAATGGATGGCCACCAAAGAGAAAAGTACTCTTTCTCGGTGGATACACGTCTGATGGACAATACTACTCCTTGGAGACAATCACACTTCTTTTTGCTCTGAAGGTGAGGCTGGAATGCCGTTCACCAAAGACAGTCCTTTCTCACGAATACACTGAAATATTTGACACTGTATACAACCCCCCTAGTAGGGTGACTTTAGAATTCGTGATTTTTTTTTTCATCTCAAACTCTCGGTGGACATTTTAGTGCACAGGCTCGTACTGAGGAATGTTACGTGGCACGCAGCAGATTGTCCCCACCCACTGGCAAACCCACCCCCGAAAACATTTGAATTGACAAGGCGGGAGTGGGGTTAATTAGTAATTCTATTTTTTTTTCCAGAAACAGATGCCGAACCATGTGTACTTATTACGAGGCGCTTCCGAAGTGTATCCCATCCACATAGAAGTAAGTTGAAGGACTGCTTTTCCTTACCACCCATCAAAGTGAAGTTTTCCAATGGATCTCATCCTTTCACCACAACTGTAAGAGATTTGATGGTTAGAACTCGCAGGTCGAATTGCGCCCTGCTCACTGAGTCCCGAATCGCTTATCTGAATACCAGTCGGATCGCCCAGCTGTCGCCGGGCGCTCCTTCTGTGACATGGCCCGGCTTCGCCGGGCCATGCGGATTTGCCGCGTGCTAAGTTAAGGATCGTTGACCAACCACACTGTTCAAAGGAATCTTCTGCATCAGCCAAGAACTGAAAAGCAGCGCTTCGTTCCGTCAAGACGCAGAAGCAGCAGCAGCGCCCCCCCCCCCGCATCACAGAAGGAGGAGAGCCGGCCTTAGCCAGCGATCCGACTGGTACGTTCATAACCTACACGGGAATAGTGCAGCCTGTTAGGATAGCCGCTGAAGCAGCCATTCTGATCTAATTTATGATTTATGATTCTAATTTATGCATTCTGTCCTCCTAAAGCGTCTTGCTTTGGACTCCCGCATTCAGCAGTGGAACCCTTTAAATGGCCCTCACTAAGGTTGTTGATGGAAGATAATTGTGGTAAGAGTGATTAAGTCAATTGCTGCTGTTCATAACATCTCTGTAAACAAACCCCATGCATTTGGAATAGAGCTAGCTTAGCGGTCGTACATGATGTCGTTACTAATAAGCAGTGAGGAATGAGTTCTGTTGGAATCATTGAGATCGTTATACTTGAGTCATATCGATCGCATTGTTGTTGTGAGCGGTGAAGCGGATTTTCCCATGTTACCTTGTCAATTTTAGCTCCTATCACTTCCGTACCCGCCAATAATATCCCGTCCCGTATCACTATCATATCACCCTATATCACCTCACGGATGTGAGGTCCCACTGTTGCTGTAACCTGCGTTACGAATTTGATGACCCTCCCCTTCCGAGGCCGCTTATCGGATCTTATCAACTGTTATCACTTTCTGTCGCCCGCCAATAATGTTCCCGTCCCAATCCC